CATTCCAATCCTTCCCAATTCATCCCAATCCATCAATCCATCCCAGTCCCTCTCAATCCATCCATCCATCCATCCATCCATCCATCCATCCATCCATCCATCCATCCATCCATCCATCCCAATCCATTCCAGTCCCTCCCTATCCATCCCAATCCATCAATCCCAGTCCATCTTTCTCAATCCTTTCCAGTCCATCCTAATTCATCCCAATCCATCCATCCATCCACCCATCCAATCCATCCCATTCATCAAATCCTTCCCAATCCATCCATCCCATCCCATACGTTCCAGTCCATCTATCCTAATTCACGCCATCCCATCCATCCATCTGTCCATTCATCCATCCAAATCATGTTTCGTATTTTTTGGATGGATGAAAGTATATATTAAAAAAATTACTCCCAACTAAATGTCATATAATCCAAAAAGCAAAACAAACTGGTCTCCAAAATGAGCTCTTCCTCTATGATTAAAGACGCTTGCTTATTATTATATTGCACTCATTACATTCACACCTACAGCTTTAATGTTTGAGGCCGGTTTACATATTATGTTTTATTTTGCTCACCAAGACTGCATTGATTTGATCAAAACACAAATATTGCCGTGTGTTTGTCAGACAACAGCTCACAGAAGATCTACATCATGATGGAGGCCAGACTCGTCGCTCTCTTCAAGTCTGACTCTGAATACACCATTCTGGAGCGGTGAGTGCACACACACATGTACAGCGGGGACAATAAGGGTTTTGATAAGTGGTTTGTCCCAAAGTTTGCATAATCCTTCCCAATCCATCCATCCCAATCCTCCCCAATATAAACTAAATGTTAGGAAAGTGTGTGCGTGTGTGTGTGTGTGCGTGTGCTTTTTTTGTAAATGTGTGTGTGTGTATGTTAAAGTGAGAGTGTGTGTGGTGTCTTTTAATGTGTGTGTGTTTGTGTGTTTGTGTGTGTGTTTTGTGACCGATTGTGGTGTGTGAAGTGTGTACTGAGCAGTATGTGTGTGCACGCGTTGAAGTGTGTGTGTGTGTATATGTATAATTGAGTGTGCGTCCTTTCAGAAGTGTTTTGTGACTGAGTGTGGTATTTGAAGTGTCCACTGAGCATTGCGTGTGTGTGTTTGTGCGTGCGTTGAAGCATGTGTATGAATGGTTTTTCGTCTGTGTGTGTGGTGTCTTTTAACCTATGTGTTATTTCTGTTTGTGTGTGTTTGTGTATGTGTGTGTGTGTGTGTGTGTGTGTATAGTGTCCTCTGAGAAGTGTGTATGTGTGTGTGTATGTAGTGTCCTCTGAGAAGTGTGTGTGTGTGTGTGTAGTGTCCTCTGAGCAGTGTGTGTGTTGTGTGTTTGTATATAGTATCCTTATAGCTGTCTGTGTGTGTGTGTGTGTGTGTGTGTGTGTGTGTGTGTGTGTGTGTGTGTGTGTGTGTGTGTGTGTGTGTGTGTGCGCGCGCGCATCTACTTTGTAACGATATTGTGTGTGACTCATCAATGTAACTTCACAACAAATACTCATTGGTAAAGTTCTTA